ACATTGCTAATCTTTATCATTTTTACCATGTAACACATATATATATATGCACCAGTCTCATATTTTGTATTTCTGTGGTGAACTACTGGGTAAGGAGTTACACTGTCAAAACAGAGGTGGCTCTTGTTGTTATGCTCCAACAAGTCATGTACAACTCATAGTGACTCTCTATATAAAATCACACAACATAAATGCAGTGATGAGAGCCCAAAATAAGCAAGCAGTTGTTGCTATGTGTTGTCAAACTGGCTTCCACTCACAGCAACTCTATATAGACACATGGAAACACTGCCTGAGCCTGCATCCTTCTCAATACCAAGTTCATTGCTGAAGTCATGCCCATCAATGTTGTTGAAGTTCTTTTTTGTTTGTTTGTTTCTGACCCTCTACTTTATGAAACATGAGATGATTTTCTCTAGGGACAGCCTTTCTCAGTAACAGGAGCAAATTATGTGAGATCAAGTCTCACCATCCTCATTTCTAAGGAACACTCTGGCAGTTCTTCCTCCAAGCCACCTTTTTTGTTCTTTGGTAGTCCATGATAAATTCAGGGGTTTCAGTTCTTTCTCTTCATTGATTTCACATGTATCTGAGATTACTATAAATCATAACATCCAGGTAGGTACAACCTAAAGTCCTCAAAGTGACATCTTATTGGTCTTTAGAACATTGAAGAACTCTGTCACCGAGGATCTGTTTAACACTCTATGAAACTTCAAGGTCAAGGACTGTAGTCTTCAATAGGCACTGCAGCTCAACATCAAGAAAACTAAGATTCTCATCACCAGGCCAGTTGGTAGCATGATAGATGGAGAGGAGATTGAGACTGTTAACCCCAATGGGGAGGATCTTTTTCTTCTTGATAATGAGATAGTGGTCCTTGATCTTCTGCAAGCATTTCAAGAACTCATTACATTCAGCAAGCAGGGTGTGTCATCGACATAATGCAGGTTATTGATGAATATTCTCCCAACCCCAGTACCATATTCTTCTTCATAAATGTCTGCTTCTCAAATTACTTTTTCAGCAGACTGACTGAATAGGTACATATTCAGCTTGCTGATGAGTCTTCTCCT